TTTATTATTTATTAATTAAAGAAAATTAATTAAGTGACTTAAAGACATGTGGACCCATTCATTCTCTTACTTGTACCAGAAACACCACATGTCATCGATAACCACCATAGTCCACTAAAAACCACCACAAACCACCAACAACCACCACTGGTCACCGACAACCGCTACCCACTGATTCCCACATCACCACCATGCACCTATTGTAGCTCCACTACAACCACATAATCGATTTCATCAGGTCACAACCCAAATTCAAGTCCCAAAAATCAAAGATAAAAATAGAAATCAAAACCATAACGATATCAAATTATGAAATCAAAAATCTAACCAAAGTCAAATCCCAATATCCCAAAATCAAAATCTAAGTTGAAATGAAAACCAAATATGGAATTCAAAACCCAAAACGTAAAACCTAACATGAAATCGATGATGAAAGAAAAAACTGATGAAAGCCCATAAATAAAATACGATTTCCAAAAAAGTGGTGTTAAACAGGAACGAAACTCAGTGAAGGAGATGGTGGTGATCGGAGGATTTTAGCGGACACGGTTCTCCACCCGCAACGAAGTTGTGAAAACTAAAATCATAAGTGGGGTTCCCAATCGATAATCGATTACTTGAATGCACTAATTTCATGAAACAATTTTCTGGAACACAATGGTTTCACAAACTTCATCAACTCTGGAAAACACTGATTTCAAACCTAGGAGAAGGATTTCAAAGGAAGAAATATATTGCAAGATGGAGGTGGCAGCGACTCTGTTTCACATCGACTATGGAGAACAACGGATAGGGATGATGGATGATCTGTTTGTTGTGCTTTGAAATGATCGGTGAAGACAGTTTGCAGAAAAGAGAAGAAAGGGTGAACGATGGTGACAGAAAGGGGCTGAGGTTTTGGTGAGGGTGTTGAGAAGAGGTTGTTACTAAGGTAACAACTGTGTGTCGGAAAAGTGACAGTGGTCATCGGAAAAGCGACGATGGTCTCTCGTCGGAAAGAAGATTTGGGGAAAACTTGGAGAACGTAACGGAGTGGATGGATGAGAATGAAATGGGGGAGTGGAGGGGTCTTTTTATTTTATTTTATTTTATTGTTAATAAACATAAAACAAATAATTACAAAATAAATGAGAAAGGGCAAAAGTGTCTTTTTATGTTTGACAAGGACGAAGGACGCAATAAAATGAACTTGTAGGGACGGTCCGAGTGCAAAACAAAAGTTAGGGACCAAACACGCAAATTTGACCAAACCACAGAGACGATTTCAGTAATTTGTTCTATAAAGAAAAAACAAAAACCAATGAAAAAGGTAAATAAAATAGGTATTCCATTTAGATCTGATTAACTTTATTCATAAGTGATTGCCAACATTTAGATGAGATTTTACTTAAAAATACAACAGAAAATGAAGATACTGAAGATAATTTTGTTTTGATATGTTTTGTTTACTTCTGAACACAAACAAAACTAAGTTATATATGTTATATTCACATATGAATAGAACATAATTTGTTGTCATATATACATTATTCAAATATGAACACAACAAAAATGACTTATATATGTTCTATTCACATATGAATATATATGTTTTATTCAAATATTCATTTATGAATATAAAATAGTTTCTTTCTAAAATGTATATCAAATTCATTTATCTTCTATTCACTAATGAATGAAGGTAAGAAGATTAACATTTCTGATAAAGACCCACCAACAATGAGAGAAACACGATCAATGCAGAAAAATCACAAAGGTATAAAATTTATATCATATCTTGTATATCCATGCTATAATTTATGAATAACTTGTATATCCCTCCTATAATTTTCTTCTATTAACATATGAATACTTCAATCTGGATATGTTTTATATTAAAAAAAACTATTGAATTCCTGTATTCATATATGAATAAATATATATGGCTTAGCTTTGTTTGTATTCAAAAGCTAATCATATGTAAATAGAAATAATTATTCATACCTATATGTTGTTTTGTTTTGGAACATTTTTCTTTTGAAATTGATGATTGATCTTCAGTATCTTCACATATGAATATAACATATATATTCATATGTGAATATATAAATATGGATATATCAGTTATATTCATTTATGAATAACTTGTATATCCCTACTATAATTTTCTTCTATTAACATATGAATACTTTAATCTTGATATATTTTATATTAAAAAAAACTATTGAATTCATGTATTCATATATGAATAAATATATAAGGCTTAGCTTTGTTTGTATTCAAAAGCTAATCATATGTGAATGGAAATAATTATTCATACCTTTATGTTCTTTTGTTTTGGAACATTTTTCTTTTGAAATTGGTGATTGATCTTCAGTATCTTCACATATGAATATAACATATATATTCACATATGAATATATGTGAATATATAAATATGGATATATATATATATATATATATATATATATATATATATATATATATATATATATATATATGAATAACTTGTATATCCCTGCTATAATTTTCTTCTATTAACATATGAATACTTCAATCTGGATATGTTTTATAATAAAAAAACTATTGAATTCATGTATTCATATAAGAATAAATATATATGGCTTACTAATCATATGTGAATGGAAACATGTATTCATACCTTTATATTTTTTTGTTTTGGAACATTTTTCTTTTGAAATTGGTGATATATCTTCAGTATCTTCACATATGAATATAACATATATATATTCATATGTGAATATATAAATATTGATATATCTGTTATATTCATTTATGAATAACTTGTATATCCCTGCTATAATTTTCTTCTATTAACTTATGAATACTTCAATCTGGATATGTTTTATATTAAAAAAAACTTTTGAATTCCTGTATTCATATAAGAATAAATATATATGGCTTAGCTTTGTTTGTATTCAAAAGCTAATCATATATGAATGGAAACAATTATTCATACATTTATGTTCTTTTGTTTTGGAGCATTTTTCTTTTGAAATTGATGATTGATCTTCAGTATCTTCACATATGAATATAACGTATATATTCATATGTGAATATATAAATATGGATATATCTGTTATATTCATTTATTCATTTATGAATATAAAATAGTTTCTTTGTAAAATGTATTTCAAATTTATTTATCTTCTACTCATTAATGTGTGAAGGTAAGAATATTGATATTTCTGATAAAGACCCAACAACATGAGAGAAACAGATTTGAAGAAGAAAAATGTCAAAGGTACAAAATTCTTATCATATCTAATATATTCATATATAAATAAACGTGTATATCCCTGTTATATTTTTGTAATAAACAAATATTAATAAATCAACGAGGATATTCATATATGAATAACTATATATATATATATATATATATATATATATATATATATATATATATATCATATTTGTATATCAATAACTTGTATATACCTGTTATATATTTGTACTACTCATATATGAATAATTACAACTTATTCAAATATTATATGTTTTCATTTCCCAGAAAAAAAAACACCAAAGAAAACAAAGCATCAAAGCAAAAAAAAAGTACATCAAAAAGAAAAACTCCTAAAAAATGACAAGTACATGATTCAGACTCTGATTTTGAAAGTAGGCGTCCATCAAAGATGGCAAAAAAAAGGAGTCACCAATCAAGAAAGAGAAAAAAAAACCAATGGTAAAGGAATTTTACTCGATGAAAAACAGATGTTCACCAGAGTCATTACTATCTATAATCCTTGGGTTGAGAAAGCAACAAAAAGAATGTGTTAGATCTATGGGTTTTGGAAGTCTGTTAAAAATTAAAATCACAGATGTACCACTGAAGCTGGGATTTTATATTCTTCAAAATTTTGATTCTGAGAGAATGGTGATAGATGTTGAAGGAAAGGAACTGAAAGTAACAGCAGAGTCTGTTCATGACATGTTGGGCATTCCAACTGGTGGAACCATACTTACACAACTAGATCAATGGCCTAAAGATGATACAAGTTATGATGAATGGTATCAACAATTTAAAGAATGAGCAATCATCCGACTGAATGCAATCAAAAAAGTTATTGTTTGTACCATAGAAGTTGATTTCAATTTCAAATTGAACTTCTTAGTTCTTTTGGTCAACACGTTTTGTGAGTCAACATCAATGGGAAGATGCAACTTGTTTCCTTTGAGTTATATTTCAAGAAAAACAGATATCAGCAACATAGACTGGTGCAGCTATGTTTTGGATTGTCTTGTCAGAACAAAGAACTCATACATACCATACTCTGATACCAGCTACTTTGTTGGACCTTCAGCTTTCTTGGGGGTAAGTTATTATAATGTTTATATTCAATTTTTAATAATACTAATTATTCATAACTGAATAGCACATATTCATATATGAATAAGTAAAATATACTTGTTCACATGTAATGTTTTACATTACTTATTTATATATGAATAAGTAAAAGAAAATATTACTTGTTCATATATGAATATATATATTCATATATGAATAAGTAATGGTTTGTATTACTTATTCATATATGAATATATATAAAATTCATTTATGAATATCAATTAATTATATTCATATATGAATATATCTAAAATTCATTTATGAATATCAATTAATTATCATTTATCTGCAGTTGTTCTATGTTGATAACATCTACTCAGAAGCTTTAACGGTAACACGTAAACGTCCAACAATTTGTTATTGGAGTTCAAAGAAGATTAGATATCGAGAGACATTTGAACAAGAAAAATGTAGATTTGGACTTGGAGAATTAAATGAAGAATTTGTTAATGAACAATATGAATGAGATACAGATCTCAAAGATAGTAATTCTGATAAAGATGAAGACGATTATGTTGAGGTAATTATTTTGAGCATGTTAATAATATTTGATTACATTAAATTATTATATTAATTTCTAATCATACTTCTTTTTATTACATGGGCATATGAATCAAAATTATCTAAAATGCTTAATAGTTTTGAGAGGATGAAGGAAAAGCTGAATTCAAAACTCAATGATGCGATAACAAAGTTCCCTGAAAAGGAAAGTTTTAGGATCTTCAAAGAAAAAATGACAAGTATAATTGTTGAAAAAAAAACTGAAAGCACAACACTTTTTGAGTTTCCAAGTAATGAAACTGGAGTTGAAGGTATCAATTTGACACCAATAATGCGTAAAAAACCAAATGATCAAAAAGAAAATGAAGATAAAGAAGGAAATGGTGAAGAAGACAATGATAATGATGGAATTCAACCGGAAGTAGATTATTTACTTGATTCAAACGAAGCAGAGAATGAAGGAATAAAGAATGATGGAGATAACAATCAAATAGAAGGTGAAACTGAAGTAAAAGAGAAAGATGGAAAGAACAATGAAAATGAGAATGATGAAGATAAAAACGATGATGAGGCTGAAGAAACAAATAATCATGGTGAGACTATTCAACAAAGTGAAAATGAAAATATGTTGGATAAAGTTGTTGACAACATTGTGGATAATGTCATTGGAATTGGATTTTCAAGTTTAAATAGTCAAGAAGATGAAATCTGGAATGACCCTGAAATTAAAACTATTTTGGATAATATTGATATAGGTAAATTTTGACTTACTTTTATTTTATAAAAATATTAATACATAATAACAAAATTTTTTATTAAATTTTGACCAGGGTCACCAATGACTAGAAGTAAAACTAATACTCTGATCAGTCAAGTTATTCAAGGTATGTTAGTATCAGCTTATTATTTATTCACTAATTCATTAATTAATTATATTTAACATATAATATTAAATGGATCTTGCAGAAAAGGGAAAATCAGAAGGTGTACATAAACAAGGAGAAGAAGTTGAAAAAAGAAAGGGAGATGATACAGGTAAATGAATGATTCAATATATATTACAATACTTATATTGATTTTTTTTAATAACATTGTTTATTCATAAGTGAATAAGACACTATATAAATAAGTAAAAAAGATAGAATATTCATATATGATGTATATGTTTCAGGCAAGGGAAACTCTAAATATGGAAATAAAGGAGGAGCAGAAGCTAAGAACACAAAAGATGGAGGTGTAGATAAACAAACAAAAATTGAGAAAGAAAATGCAGATGATAGAGGTAAATAGTTGATTCACTAATAAATGAATATAATAAGTTTGATTATTCACAAATGAATAACACAGTATACGAATAAATAAAAAATATAGTATTATTTATTCATAAATAATGATATGCATTACTTATTCATAATTGAATACATTACTTATTCACAAGTGAATAAGACAATGTAAGTAATGCTTACATTTATTTTTTGAATAACACACTTTTCATTTATTAATAAGTAAAAGATAGAATTACTTGTTCATAAGTAATGTTATGCATTACTTATTCAAAAATTAACATATTGCAATATTTATATTCATTTATGAATAACTAATACAATGTTTTGAATATAGATACATTATTCAAATATGTTCTTTATCTTTCAGGAAAGAAAAAGTCTGAAAATGAAAACAAAAAAAGGAGGAGAATCTGACAAGACAAAAGGAAATAAAGGAGGTAACAATTTGGAAAAACATTTCAAAATATAAAAAAATATTATAATTAACATACAACTATTTATATGATAAATCTCATGGCATGCATATAATACTCATCCAAGCTTTAGTCTAGGTCTCAGTCAAGATTCAGATCAAACTTCAAGTAAAAAATCTAATGAATCTTCACCAAAAAAAACCACTTATAAAGAAACAAATCAAAGATGACGATCAGAGGGTTGTGATCAGATTAGCAAACAAAAATGTTCTTAATCCAAATTCAATCTCTGTAGCAATTCCTATAGAAGTAGGACCATCAAAGCATGATTTGGATGAACCAAGAGAGAAGAAGCTTGTTGATGCTTTCAAATCAACTTACAAATGCAAGATAATAGACACAAAAGCTAAGCTGACACATCAGGAGAGTATTGTCTGTGAGTGGTTGTTCAACTTGCAAGGGAATACATCGTAAGTAACTTTATTTTATAGACATATTCATATATGATTATTATATAAATAATAATGTATGACATTTTGATTATATATTTGTAGAGATGTGGTTGTCCAGACAAAATATGGTTAGATAACATAAAGAGAAATTATGGAAAGTCTATATGCAAACACAGAGATTTTTGCAGAAGTTTTAGACACTTGGGCTGATTTACTTAACCACCAAGAACTGGGAAGGGATTTCGGAAATTCACCATACAGACTCTTCTTGAAAGTTGGAGTTTCTATAAGTTTATGTTCTAATTAATTTCTTCTTCATTCATAAATGAATATACCAATATGATGTATTCATTTATGAATATTATATTTATTTACAACTGAAATTCACATATGATTATACCAATATGATGTGTTCTTTAAGATAGTTACGTATATGCAACTGAAATTCACATATGATTATAACAAAATGATGTATTCATCTTTGAATATAAAAATTAAAAATAAATATCTTTAGTATATACTTATGATTAATATACCAACATGATGTATTCATTTATGATTAACAACTTCCTAATCCTTTAAAATTATATTGGTTACAGAATGCTTATGTATCTTCAACATTGTCTGATGAAAGAAAGTATGAAAAATTCAAGGAGAACTTTCATGACAGTACTGATGGGTACAAAAAAATCTTGAACATAAAAGATATTGACATGGTATGTTAATTAAACTTGTTTATATATATATATATATATATATATATATATATATATATATATATATTATCAACAAAATACTTACCATTATATACATAAAAATAGGTATTCTTTCCAGTTGTTAGAAGTGCTCACATTTTTGTGATTGTATTCAACTTAAAGAAACCACCAGTTGAAATTATGGACAACAGTGCAGTTGAGGGGGATTATGAAGGGAAATATGGAGTGCTATTGAAACCTTTGATAAGTACCCAATTCACAACAACATATAAGAACCAATTTATTACATATCTAACTTTTATTTTATTTAATGATCAGAAAAATTTGTTTGTGAGATACTTTAAAGAAATAAACCATCCAAGAGCCAATGTCATCTCAAAAGAAAGTATCACACCCCAACGACTTGAAATGCCATGGAGAACAGTTAAAAACATAGTTGATTGTGGGGTCTTTGCAATGAGACATATAGAGACCTATATGGGACAACCAATATCAAATTGGAAACCAGGTCTTCATAAAGAAAGTGCAATTCAACAAACTACTTTAGATAAGCTCAGGAAAAGGTATGCACACTGAATGCTAACTTCTGAAACTAACATGTTGAAGGCTAAGGTGTTGGATCTTGCTGAAAAATATCAAAATGTTGAATTCAAAGTGCGTACCGCTCATGCATACAAGGCTATGCAAACAATTCAAAAAATGTTAAACGAATATTTATGATTGCTTGTGATGAAGTGTGATGGTGTAGAACATTTTTTGTTAAAGTTGAATGAATTTGGAGGACATGTAAGATGATTCTGTGAAACAAGTTTTAGATCGTTTGCTAAATGTTATTGAACATCGTTTAAATAGTTTGTGAAATGCTTATGAACAAGTTTTATTATCTTGTGTTGAATGATTATGTAATAGAAACAAGTTTGCTTATTTCTGTTAGTTTTTTATATTCAACTATTTTCCAATCTTTATTACTGTTTATTCATAAATGAATACCAATATGATATATTCATTTATCATTAAGTTAGGAGTAATATGTTAGTATAACAAAGATCATATATGAATATACAAAGTTCGGATATGAATATAACTTATTTATTAGTATAACAAAGTTCACATATTTGTATTCATTTATGATGTATTCATTTCTGCTAGTTTTCAATTTTATTTAAGTTTATTCATAATTGAATACCAACATGATATATTCATTTACCTTTAATATGTAAATAATAACATCTTCAATTATAAATGAATCCACATATTATGTATTCATTTATGAATAATTTACAAATAATATGTGTATTTCACATATCAATTTACCATATCAATATAACTTATTTAATAGTTAATTAAAAAACATATATCATATATACATTTTAAAAAAACATATATTTCACATATCAATTTACCATATCAATAATTATTCATACATTAATATTATTGTTTATGGTTATTATCTGCATATATTCATAAATGAATAAAACCAAAAAACATAAAAAAAAACCCCTAAATGTCTTTTGTTGATTGAGCAGCTGCAATTCTTACTGGACATGTACGTAAATTGTGAGGAACTCGTTTTCCACATCCTGAGCACATTTTATGTTCTTTTTTAGAATTTTCGTATGCTACTTCACCTGTACTTGGAATTCTTTTCTTGATTCCAGAACCTTTATTGCTTTGAACTTGAGGAACATGAATATTAATCTTTTTTGGAATAGGAATAGAAACACACATAAGCTTGCATACGACTTCACCATCCGTCTTGTTTTTCAATCCAGTAAATGTATAATCACTCTCACTCTCAAATTCCTTCAACAACATCTGTTGTTCCTCAGCAAACAAAGCCAATTTCTTTTTGTCATCTCTTGCAATATCCAAACATGATTCAAAACTATAATATGAATCATTGACTAGCTTCACATTCTCACAATCCCCTGAATCATATTGAAGAGAACTAAAACGATAATTTCGTGATATCACATCCTTTCTCCATCATTTTAGAATGTACCTTTCAGGAATTTCTTTAACACCACATCTCATCATTATTGTAAAAGCATCTCTACATAAAACACTCATACGCATGAAATGTTCACAACTGCAATTTATTTCTTTCTCTTCAGCTTTTATATCAACCTGATACAAAAACATAATTAAAAATGAAAAACCAATTTAAACAAAATTTACACATTTACAATCATATATAAATACTCATATATGAACAATCATATATAAGTATTCATATATGAATATTACATTCTAATCATATACAATAATACATATTCATAAATGAATAATAATAAATAAATATTCATATATAAATAATCACATTGTAAATATTCATATAAGATATGAATTTAAATTCATATATGAACATGTTCTAATTTTAAAATGATCAGAATATTCATATATGAATATTCTCATATTCATATATGAATATTCTCATATTCATATATAAACATTAAATTTCTCATAAAAAACTATTAAATTACCTTAAACTCATTTTTAAATTCGTTTTTACTGTTGTGTTGCACAATGTAAACTTCCCATCCATCTTCAATACCAACATACGAGTATGTACATAAAAAAACTTGTTTTATATATTTCCTTTTGCACCTCAAAAAATAATGTACTTGTATAAACCTTTGATGCTTGTAGTTCTATTTCTCGAGGTGTTTGCATTTTATATGATACTTTCTTTGATGCCTTATCAAGCTCTCGTTGAGTATTCATTTGCTTTTGAATGGCAGTGTCGTAATTCATCATGAAATTCAAAAGTAAATTACCACTTTCTGAGTAGGTATTAAAGAATGAATTCTTACTCTCTGACATCGACGTAGTCTTCATCAACCCACACATTGGAATATCATTAAAATATCCAGGTATCCATGAATCACATTTTGTAAAC